GATCGTGTTGTTTGTGTTATGATTGTGTTGCGTTTATGTGGTGTTATAATTGCTGTGATTGTGTTGTGATTGTGTTGTGTTTGTGTGTTCAGGCACAGGTGTGTTTATGACGCGAGGGCAGCTGATGAACTGTCATCTGTGTGCTGGAGTCAAACACAAGGTGCTTCTGCGGAGACTCTTGGCCACCTTCTTCGACAGGTCTGTACCGCGGTAAAACTGCACTAATCACTGTCTACACATATTCATACAAACGCTGCGTCCCAATTCACATACTATCCATCCAAACTAGTAGGTTCCCATGTGGATGCGTGGAGATGATTGACAGGTGTTGTAACTATGCAACAGAATGATCCATTGATGAGGAAGTGGTTTGTCCCAAAGCTCACACACTCTTCTGTGACTCGTTTTCTCAACAACAAAAAACTGACTTTTAGGACGTACACTCACCGGCCACTTTATTAGGTACACCTGTCCAACTGCTCGTTAATTCAAATGTCTAATCAGCCAATCACATGGCAGCAGCTCACTGCATTTAGGCATGTAGACATGGTCAAGAGGATCTGCTGCAGTTCAGAGCGAGCAGAATTTGGCCTCAACAACATGAAAGCATGGATCATCCTGCCTTGTATCAGCGGTTCAGGCTGGTGGTGGTGGTGTAATGGTGTGGGGGAGATTTTCTTTGGGTCCATTGGTACCAATTGAGCATCAACGCCACAGCCTACCTGAGTATTGCTGCTGACCATGTCCATCCCTTTATGAGCACAGTGTCTCCATCTTCTGATGGCTACTTCCAGCAGGATAACGCAGCATGTCATAAAGCTCAATCATCTCAGACTGCTGAACATGACGATGAGTTCACTGTACTCAAATGGCCTCCACAGTCACCAGAGCTCAATCCAATAGAGCAGCTTTGGGATGTGGTGGAACGGGAGATTGGCATCATGGATGTGCAGCCGGCAAATCTGCAGCAACTGTGTGATGCTATCATGACAATATGTCAGTTCTGAAGGCAAAAGGGGGTCCAACCCGGTACTAGTGAGGTGTACCTAATAAAGTGGCCAGTGAGTGTAGTATAAGTGATTCAGTTGGAACACAGTACAAGTCTTTAAGTTTGTAAAACGTGCAATGAAGGCAGTGTTGTTGCCTTAATTTAGATGCACTGTTACTGTATGTTAAAATTAACAAAGGACACCAGTATTTTTGCACAAACTACTCAAGTATACTTAATTTTTAGTTTTAAAGAAGTATACTAACTGCACACTCGAATAATCTCAGCGTAGTGCATTTTATTCGTTTTTCTTCATTTTATTTGAATTATTGTCATCATCAAGACTTGTTTGGTGCACAAACGATTTGCACAATACAGTTCACAGTTGCACAAAAGCAGTCGGCTGCATTATTTAGCTATTTATCTATCACGCAAAGCACCTCTGCATTGCACAATAATTGAGGCTGAAATACTTATTTTTCTAAATGATTGTGCCTCCAGAATGTCCTTCTGCTTTTACCGAAACTGTGTTTGCAGCAGGACTAACAGGCTGTGTTTATTTATATGTGATTTATTTATACCGAGCTAGCTCAGTAAAACACTCCGTCTGCATGCAATCAAAATATGCAGTGTTTATTTTGCTAGCACACACTGTTGGTCTGAAGGTGAACTGTTAATCTCAGTTACTCCACTGTAAAAACAATCATTAAATAACTGTTTTGTTGATATTTAATCAAAATCTGCTTCTGCTCTGGGTCCTACTCTGATGATTCTGATTGGCTAAAATATGCTTAGCCACGCCCCTCCATCTGTTAATGTAGGATGAGAGGCGTGACTTCTAAGTAAAACCCCGCCCCCTACTCAGTATTCTATTTCAGTTAGAAAAAAGTCATCAGACTGAAATAAAAGTCTGCAACTGCTGTTGTTTTTAAAGGTGTCATATACTGAAGTTAAATTGCTTTCTGATATCTACATAGTGGGTTTATGGCTTCAGTAAGTTAAAAAAAATCTCCAGAAACGGTTTTATAAGCTCATTTTTTGCTCCATAAAATACTCCTTGAATCAAAATGTCCATGATTGACCATATATGGCATGTGTCATGAATATTAACGAGCTCCGCTCTTACAGACACACACACACACACACACACACACACACACACACACACACACACACACACACACACACAGCATGCTGTATGCAGACAAACATAAACACAATCCGACTAATGTTAACCTATTTTGCTCACCAGATAAAGGATAAATTATAATTAAACTTGACTAAAGTGAGTGATAGATGTGTATTGCATAGTATTTTGAAGCTACAGTCAAAGAAAACACAGCCAGGAATTAATATCCACCTCCGCATGAACAGATGACCGTTGAGCTGGGTGATCTGACACGATTTAACAGTCTACATGTGTTTGCTGAAGCAAAATATGCGTCAAATTTTACGATCAGCACAATAAATGAATAAAGGATGTAACTAATCACACCGTACGGCTCGTCAGAGTGGAGATGAGTAGCTGTGTAATCTGTACATCCTGCATTTTGCGTCCTGAGGCGAATTTGAAACTTGTTGCCTAGTAACACACAGTAAACAATTTGGCGTTTTCAAAATAAAAGTCCAGGCGAAGCAGTGGCGCAGTAGGTAGTGCTGTCGCCTCACAGCAAGAAGGTCGCTGGGTCGCTGGTTCAAATCTCGGCTCAGTTGCCGTTTAGGTGTGGAGTTTGCATGTTCTCCCTGGGTTCGCGTGGGTTTCCTCCGGGTGCTCCGGTTTCCCCCACAGTCCAAACACATGCGGTACAGGTGAATTGGGTAGGCTAAATTGTCCGTAGTCTATGAATGTGTGTGTGAATTAGCGTGTGTGGATGTTTCCCGGAAATGGGTTGCAGCTGGAAGGGCATCCGCTGTGTAAA